GGAAGACACGCTTTTCTATGCTTACCTGACACACTCTTTCTTGTTTTTAATTTAGTCTCTTATTCCTGCCCATGTTATTCAACAAACTATTGGCTCTGAGAAGATATGACTAAAATAATAATGTTTAATTGATGCATCTAAATATATGTATGGCCATTTCATTTTAAAATATCAATGACTAATGTTTTATTTTAAAATGTTAAGTAAACTACCAGAACCAGGGGAAAATATTTGCAAGAAATGCCCCATTAAACTGTCTCTTGAAATGCTTCCTCACTGATTTATCATGCAACATTTCTTTTTCACATTTTATTATTCAGGAAAACATGCCCTATGAGAACCAAGTGTAGTTATGATCAGTTCTTTATTTTATATAAGAAAATAAATAGGTAATTATAAACATGTAGTACAGAATTTGCCTATTAAAGTTTTCCATTTGTAAAGATAATCTGGGTATACAGATATACTCTCAAGGGACTCTAAAAAACAAAAAAACAGAGACGCTGTTAAATTTATAGTACTAATTACTTTTGTGTTCTAGAATGAAAGGTCATTGTAATAGATAAGATCTATTATACCAAGTGCACAAAAAATAAAAGTCCAAGATAGATGGTGCTATTTCAGTAGGCCAGTTAAGAACCTTCTGGAGCACAGACTGAAAAAAGTTAAGAAAATTATTTTCTTTTAAGAATCTTGTGTATGGGTGAGGTATGAGACAATATAAGGAGTACAGATTCTGAAAAGAAAAAAGATCTGATAAACGGTTCTCATCATCATCATCTTACTCTTTCTTTTCTTTGCTCCTCTGTTGGTGAATTCTTTGCTCAAATATCTGTTATCAACACTTCACCAAGCAGCAGACCTTAAAAGTGACACAACATGACCCTTCTTCTGTTGATGATTACAAGGAGCTTCAAAGCTTTGAAAATAAAGTTCACTGCTACAGCAGCAGAACCTCATGACAGACAGTGATCCTCAATTTAATTGGAGCAAAAACTCACCTCTCACAGAGAATGCATTGTCTAAAGCCTCCTTCATAACCTCACTTTATCCTATTTGTGCATGAACCCATTCTGGCATTCAAAGAGCTACTTGTTGTTTACATGACATAACTTTAACAAAAACCTCTGTCTCTTTGATCATTTCCAATGTTGAAAGATAGATTGCCATTTTCTACAGGTTACAGAAAGGTAAAGGCATTCTTCTACAGTAAGAAAGCATACTGCTGGTAGCAATCAATGTTTTATAATTGGGATGAAAATGCTATTAAGATTCAAAGGCAGCATTTGAAGAGGTCCCTCCTGTTTGTAGTTGGTCAAATATCAGCTATTTCAATACAAGCAATGAGATGCAACAGATGCCGCTAATTACCTCCATTCTGCCTCTACTCAATTCTTCTTACTCCCAGGTGCCTACTCCATCCTCTCAGGGGCAGAAGATAGGCAGATAGATGTGAGGAGGTGCACAGGACCTTGTGCAGCCACCAATCCTGAGAGCAATTGGTCAATACCTTTGAAGCTAGTTAAATTTTTAGTAAACAGTTCTAAACTCTAGCAGATGGTCTATTGGTCCCAGTGGTGCTGTTCAACATCTATATGACTCCATATAAAGATCTAAAATCTTGGAATTGGAGGATTGCTTCTCTCAAGTATATTCTACTTAATATTTTATGATTTTACTCTATAACTAGTGTCTTTTCTCTTAATGGAGAGCTTGGCCTGGTTCTACTTTTCTCCTTTAAAAAAATGACATGAAGGGATAACAATTCATCTCTGACCAAATTAACCAAGTTGGTTAACACTCACCAAGGGCTTGAATATGTTTTCATTTTACAACCAATGAAGCAGATGGTTAACTGAAGTTGTTGCAAGTCATCCAAGGAGAAACTTACAACCCTTATCTACAGAGTAAGCCAGTTATAATTGCAGCTCAGTTTTAATATTTATCTTCTTAGAGCATTATAAAATTATCATTGCAAAAATCTTTTCTAAACGGAACATTTCTGATTTCTAAACATGTTGTTAAACTACTCTTTCTATTTCTGACATTTTTCTGAACACTATGAAGGTCAACCTCAAATGGGTAATTATAGAGCACTCCTACAAGAATATTATTCGGTTTTCCTTTATTATGTTTAGTATCCTCCAGATCTTTATCTTCCACTCTTTCTCCCTTCCTCTGTTTTTTTTTTTTAATTTATGTTTCCCCACCACCTTCCATCTTCTCAAATCATGAATGCCATTTTCTTAATAAAAGATTACTTTAAAGGCTGATGTTCTGCATATATACTCCTAAATTATTTTTACTTTTATTGTTGTATTCCCTAATCAGGCATTGGCATTTGGTTTTTTATAACTCTAAGGAGAATTAAATTTCCTCTTTGGTACAAACATCTATACCCACATTGCTTGGTACTGGAATAGCATTTTCCCAACCCAGAATTAGAGCCCTGAAGGAAATAGTCACCGGGAAGAGTGTGAGCAAAAGAATCAAGGAAATGCATCCTTACAATCTCCTGAGGACATTCCCAAGTTCTACCCTTTCCTCCTGGTGGCCAGATTATTTTGGCTTTTATTTTAAGATGGGAGAGGTCCCATCGTTCTGGCTAACGGATAGACAGTCTATGCATATTTTCCCCTTTAATAGATGGTAAAATGAAAATCAGAAAGCTCTTATGCCATTCTTAAGTACAATTTTCCAGGTATCCACTTAAAACATTCACATGACACCAAATTACAAGGCATTTCTTTTTTATCTCTGGTAATCAAGCAAAGTTTGTTTGTTCTTGAATGTTTTAAATTGTATAAACAAGGAATATGAGAGAGTACAGTAATGTATGAACAGGGAATGGCGCCTATGAGACTGATGATGAACTTTCTCTTTGCTTGCTCACAGGAAGCTATCAGATTGTTGCTCCTGTGGGTTGAATTCTGTTCTCTCCTTCTACCCTCCCTATCAAATTCATATATGGAAGTCCTAACCCCCAATTGCTCAGGATGAAATCTCATTTGCAGACAGGGTATTTAGAGGTAATCAAATTAAAATGAGGGTTGGGTGCGACGGCTCATGCCTGTAATCCCAGCTCTTAGGGAGGCAGAGGTGGGAGAATAGCTTGAGCCTAGGCAGGTCAAATGAGGTTCTTAGGGAGGACCCTAATCTAATATCACTGATATTCTTACAAAAAGGGGGAGTCTGGAAACAGAGAGCTACAGGGAGAAAGGCATGTTGCCATGAAGATGGTCATCTACAAGCCATAGAGGGAGGCCAGGAACATATCCTGTCTTTACAGCCCTCAGAAACAACCAACCCTACTAACGTCTTGATTCCAGACTTCTAGAGTACAGAACTGTGAGACAATTCATTATTTCTGTTGTTTAAGCCACCCAGTTTTTGGTATTTTGTTACAGCTACCCTAGAGAACTAATACAGTTACCTACTTTACTTTTTTTTCTATAAATGAAAGTCAATTTTTGACATACCTTCAACTGTACATTATTGTTGAAGAAATATATACTTATATCTGTATTAATTTCATATTTGATCTCTTAACTTCAGGGAAAAATCTTTGCCATCCCTTAAATGGCAATGTTCTGAATTTCATGAGAAAAAGTCTTATATACCAGAAAAAAGATGTTGAGAATCATCAAAAACAACCTTTCAGTGCAGAACTGGATAAAAGTAGACAAGTAGAAGTTACAGGTCTTTTAAAGTCATCCAGTTACTGGTGAAAATAGATCACACAGTTCCCAGTCTCCATATTTTTCTACTATAGCACAGAGCAACTCCTAGCTAGTAGCCAAGGATTTCATATCATTAAAATTTTTTTTTACTATTTTGTTATGTTAAAAAATGTTTAAAGTCAGGATAATATAAGACAGATGACAAAAAAATAGTTTACTCCACTGAAACTGTATTCTGCAAAGTCCTAACACATATTCTTAATCAGACTGTTGATATTTTCACTGCTACATGGTAGATATATTTTTGTACCATTTTGAGATAAGCACAGCAATGACAGGTGGGTCAATACCTCAGTCTGTGGAAAGATTAGAATTTTCTTTAGAATTCTGCTGATTCAAGCAGAGGAAATTTTTCAGAAGACAACTTGTGCATTTGCTAATTCTCAATGGTAGTTTTCACAAGTTGCATTGTACATGTTCAGGTAGCTATCAAAGAAAAGTATAATTTAGTTCTAATTAAATTGCTATCTATCTTAAAGCTAATCATTTCTTGATAGATGTTTCTGTCTCTTTTCTTCTCCATTTCTTTATCCTGATTCTATTCTTTTAGAAGACTCATGGTAAATACATTTGGAATCTTCGAATAGCTGACATGAAGGAGAACTTTGACTCTTCTACCCTAAAGGGTATAACTAAGATGAACTGGCTAAAGTTACAATTAAATATATCTCATGTAAAAAAGAAAAAAGGAAAATCTTTAAACAGAGCTATGATATGATACAATTGGCTGCTGTGAAGTATCTTCAGGGATAGTCACTGGTGATATTCTAAGCATTAGAACATTGTGGGAAGGGGTGGCTTTGCTATAGACAGACTTCAAGCAATGACTGAATTAGATCAAATGGACCTTAGAGTCTTTTCCATCCTAAAAATTCATGGTTCTATGAACTCAATAGTAATCTCATGGGGCTAATTATTCCCCTCAACTATCATAAGGCTCATTCCTTGACACTCTTGACACCCTTTGCATTTAGTATGCTCTGGAATTTATTTAATTAACATACATTTAGAAGACACAGAGATGAAACACAGAGATCAGTCAAAGCTCGTACATGTCGAGTTAGATACAGTGTTTAGGTCAGAATCTTTTGTCACTACTCATTTATTGGTATGAAATGGTGTATTTTTTACTATTTGGGAAAGAGTAAAAAATTGTCCTGCAATCATAAAATAAATTTTTTAACAGTCATATTAGTCCTTGGGATTCTTTTCTAATGGGCTAAAAATACATAGTACACCATGAAATAATCAAATACTAACCTCTTTCATTTTTTCCAGTTCATTCTGTAAAGCTTGCTTTGCAATTTCAACTTCTATGAGCTGTTGCCTCAGTTTCTCATTTTCATCTTCTGTTGTTGTTCTCTTTTCTTCCACATTTTCTAATTCATGATGAAGTCTCACAGATACATCCTTTGCAACCTGAATTAAGGTGTTTGTAACAATAAAATATAATTAATGACTATATAATAAGGGCTAAAATTTTATTCCTATCGAATGCATTAAAACCCAATATTTATATAGTGCTTACCATGTGCCAGGCATTATTCTACAAACTATACATATAAGCCATTCGCATATATCAATCATTTAACCCTATAAAAATCCCATGAGATAGGCACTATTACTCCTGTTTTGTAGATGAGGAAACTGAGTCTCAGAGAGGTCAAGGTCACACAGCTAACGAGTAGACACTGCGGGGCTAAGAGGCCTAGTAATCTGGCTCTAAATATATTGTTCCCTTAACTTCTGCACTACCCTGTGGTAACAAATGTTGCACTGGATTTTATCACATGTAGAGAAATTTCACAAATCTCCTTTACTTCAACAAAACTATGAGGTAGATGTTTCTATTATAATCTATGTTAAAGAATGAAAAATTGAAGTTTTTACAAGTAGTGGGTTGGGCTTGAATTTCAATCTTATAACTAGAATTCCAGTTGCTTAGTGTTAGGAAACATTTTAGTCCTTGCGATTATTACTTTTTGAATGACTGTGCATTTTTGCCTCATGTTTTGAGATTATCCTGGAAATTCTAGCGTTTGGAAGAAAAGTGGAGCAGCCTGGTATAGAGGCTTAGGATACAGGTTGTGATTTTGGACTGAGTGGAGAGTGAGCCTGGCACCTATTAGCTGTTTTTCAGGCCTGGGCACTTAACCTCTGTAAAAGGTGTAGCTTCTGCAGCTGGAAAATGGTGACTTAATAATCCCTACATTGTAGGATTTTTTTCCCTTGAGAATTACATGAAATAATAACGTATGTAACAGTGTTTGCCACATTGCTTAGTACATACTAAACACTCAACAAATGTTAAGAAAAAAGTAATACGTCTTTCATAAAATGTTTACACATAGCTTTCTTTAAAATAAAGAAAAATTACATGTGATCTTTAAATCTTGATGAAGTTAATGCAATGAACAGTATACGTATTTGGTGCAAGGAGATTAAGTTTGCATTGTCAATGAATCTGCCTACAGTCAGACTGAACTGGAGACCACACCTGTCTAGAAAATGCACTTGAAGGTTGAGATTTTTCCGGTGGAAGAAATTCTGAAGGAGCGACTTCACTTTAAAAAATGAAATTCTTTCATTTACCTCACACCATACAGGCTGCAAGTTGGTTAGTTGGGGGGTTTTTTTGTTTGTTTTTGTTGTTGTTTTTATTTTCTCAGGGAGTCACCTAAGTGGCAAGTGCAGAAAAGAAGTAGTCCTGGAAGAAGGAGGTGGAGTGGACACTTGCTGAAATAAATCTTAACTCCAGAATCTCCCTAGTGCAGTACCTATTTTGGGTTTCAACTCCCCCAGAGGAGTCCTTTTAGTGGCTCCTGACTGCCCGATTCCACCGGCATTCTCTCAGTAGACAGACTAGGGCAGATCAAAGGCTAGAGCCTGCGCTCTGCCACGCCCTTGCTTTTGCCCAGAAGGGAGCCTTCTTCTCATCACCTCTTGAAAAGCCACCTTGCTCCCAGGAGAGCACACTTAGCTCGTTTGCTGCCAGGCCCTCCACACACTCTGCACTCTTTAGAGCCACCTGCCAGTTCTCTCCCTTCTGAGACCCTAGTATTTTGTGGTTAGCGCTACTAAACTGTGTCCCTAAGGCTCCTTGCCAGTCGCCAGTGAAGACTTCTCAGCCTAAAGAGCCCTTGGCCAAAGTCCCCACCCGCCGCCCCTGCCGCGCGCCACTGAGCCCCCGCGCCGCAGACCTTGAGGTCCTGCTCCAGGCTGCGCAACAGCTCCCCGTCGATTTCCCCGGTCTGGGCGTAGCGGAGCCTTTTGCGCTCGGCTTTGCGGAGGCGGTACTGCAGGATCCGGCAGTTTTTGTTGGCTCTCTCCAACTCGTGGCGCATTTCCTGCAGTTGACAGGCATCCTCCTCGAAGAAAGTGTCCCTCATCTCATCCATCTCGGTTCTCAGCTCATCGATCTCGTTCTGAGGTGGTGACAGGCCGCGTGTCAAAATCAAACTCGCTTCCAGCCCATTCGACACACACCATGCACACCCCATTCCAATTTCAAATTCTCAGCTTTAATTGCCCTCTCTCCACGAGACAGGAGTGACAAGGAGCTGAGTGTAGAAGAGGAAACTGGGAAAAAAGGCCCACTTTAGGCCCTCTCTCATTCTCTTACTCTACCTCTCTCCAGGAAAAAGTGTGACAAACCATTATTATTAAAGAAACGGAGGCCCAGATTAGAATTTAAATGAAAACCTCGCGTTACTGAGAGCAGATTCAGTTTCAAATTTGGACAAGGCCTAGGAAACCCCCTCCCTCCTTTCTTGTTCTCCTCCCTCTTCAAGGCTCCCTAACAGGTTAGCAGCCTCTCACCCCCGCCGGGACACGCCCTAATCCTCCCAGGCCCACTCTTCCCATCCCCCAGCCGGATACCCCCACCCTCCTCACCTTCAGAGTCTCGTTTTCCTCTCGCAGCTTCTCCATCTCCTCCTGCATTTCTTCCTGCTCTTGGAGCTGCTGCGGGTGCGGCTGCGACGAAGGGGGCGCTGCCGCTTGCATGCCCCCGCCGCTCGCACTGCCCTCTGCGCTCTGCTGGGGGCCCTCCGCCGCCGCCGCCATTGGGGAGGCGGAGGGGACTGCCAGGGTCTCACAAATGGAAGGGGCACCAGCGACCGGGGAGCTGCGGCTACTGCTGCCGCCGCCGTTCTTAGCGTGCATCTGAGCCGCGGCCGCCGCCGCTGCTGCCCGCTCCTTCTTGAGATGGAACTGGATGAGCTCAGACTGCAGACATCCTTCCTTCCAGTAGCTCCCTCCACTACCGCTGCCGCCCCCCGCAACGCCGCTTCCGGAGTTTCTGCTGCCGGGTCCTGGGGTTTTGCCCGCAGAAGAGGAGGATGGCGAAGGGGAGGCCCCCTCCCCGCCGCTGCCGCCCCTCTGCTGAGCGCGTACGCCTTTCCCTCGCCAGCCCCTGGGCGGCGGCGGCTGGGGAGCGCCCCCCTCCCTTTCCCCGGAGCCTCCGCCGGCTCCTCCTCCTTCCCCGCCCCCTCCTCCCCCTTCTCCTAGCGGAAGGGGTTCCCCGAGTTTCGAGGGCACGGACTCTAGCTCCCGAGGCGGCTCCTCGGGCGGTCCGGGCCTCTTGCCGCCCAAAGCGGCCAGGGTCGCGGCTGGGGCCGCTTCAGCACCAGCAGCGGGCTGGACAGCTCCCGGAGCGGCCCCTTTGGGCGCCAGGGGCGTCGCCTTGTCGGCCCCGCCTCCGCCTCCTCGGGCGCCGGCGGGCGGTCCCGTGCGGCTCCCGGTCTTGTTACCCTGCTGTTGCTGCTGCTGCAGCTGCTGCTGCCGAACAGAATTGAGTTTAGTGCCGGCCCCCACTGGGGACCTGGTGGCCGCGATTGTCTGTCGCAGCGAATTGTCCCTCGGTCTAGCGGGTGACTGAGCTCGCTGCTGCTTTCTGCTGCTGCCCTCCGGGTGCAGACGAGCCTCAGTGGCTGCAGCGGCGGGAGGAGCTGCTGCTGTGGCAGGGGCAGCGCCCCCAGTCGGTGGCTGACTCATGGCTAGGAAGAACCTACCAGATGCGATTTGGAATAGCCCATTACTAGATCATCCTCTTCCCTCTTCACCGCCGCCAACCTTCCTTCCTAAGCTGGGACAGAAACAAAAAGAGAGAAGAACACAACACGTCTGCGTTGTTGCACAGCAAAGGGTGATATTGCTGTACAAGAGAAGCTCTCAGAAAATGATGAGATTTGGATGGCGCTTAGTAGAAGCTTTGACTTTAGGAATAGGGGCTGTCTTTAGAAATAGGATGCAGGTATGTCAATTCTCATTTTGCCCAGGGTGGCGCTGTCTCCATCTCACTCCACCTTAGCAAAATGACGGATCTGAAAGCAGCTGAACCTTACATTCTCATGGTAGCAGGCTTTGGAAAGGGTGAGATACAGAGTCAGACAGGAATTGGTGGGAAGGGAGATATAAAAGAAAAGAGATAAAGTCGAAAAGAGGCTTCAGAAAGAAAAGATGTCCATATATTAGAGTTGTCAAATCTCTGCTTTTACAACGTTGGCTTTCCTCGCCATCAAATCCATATGTAAAGCCTAGTTTAGTGGAGAAAGTTTTCATTTAATTAGTATTCCCAAGTTCAATTAGAGGAAAAGAGTTATGATGTAGGGCTCCTAGAGAAAATTTTCTACGGATAAATGACACTTTCCCAAGCCGGTTCCAACGTTGTTTTTGGGGAAATGCACCCAATTTCCTTTGTAATAGAACTAAAAGAAAATATAAATAATGAATGCCTTTAAATCAATCTCAGTTTCAAGCAAACAACAGCATTAAGAATTGTCTATATGGGTTAGTTATTAACAACCCCAAAGCTTATCTTTTCCCTTTGGGGAAATAATTTTTAAAATACATTTGGAAAAGTTGATGGTCAGTTCTGCAGTTTCCTAAGTTTCTGGTGATGAATTTTCCTATGCTCATCCAATTTTGTAGTCCTTATGAATCACTTTAGTTTTAAGTGTAATTGCTAGATAGAAAATATTTTCATTCTTAGCCATCTTCTTACATTGCATATCATAGGCAAAGTTGTACTTTTTAAAGTGCCCATTCCCTCCTATGTAGCCATATTCTGAGACAGAACCCAGAAGGCTGATGCATCTTCCCTTATAGTGGTAAAATCAATTTCCAGTATATATATTTCCAAGATAAATCCATCACTAGCTTCTTTAATCTGAAAAACAGCAAGCTACTGCCTCATAGGTTCTTCTCCCTAGGGATCCAGGCAGCTAGTCAATTAGTTGCCTTTTCCTTAAAATTATTTCTGTCTAAAGCAGTGAAAGGGCATGACTAGGCATAAATTTCTGCTTTAAAAATATTTGTCCTATACAGAGAGGAGGTTACCCTACTGCCAGTTATTTTACTTGCATAATTCTTGTTAACATCTATTTTTAGCATCACAACTTAGCATGCAGTAATTCCTCATTTTATAAAGAAATATTACCAGAGGATTCCTAATCCACCTTCCTTTCTGTTTCCGGCATCTCCTTCCAACTCACTTTGAAATATAAAGGTGAACAAAGAAGACATCAGGGGAGAAATTTGCCCATCAACTTATTTTCTACATCTTCTCTCCCAGCCACAATAATACTAGAACGTCTGGCCTAGTTTATCATCTTGGGTGACACTATGGGCTATCTAACTAATTTATATTGCCAATGCAAACTTATTTTTGTTTTTAATCAGGCAGAATAATTCCAGAACCGAGAAGCCAATGTTTAAACTCAGCCCCCAGACAGCATTAACCCAGGTGAAAGCTTGTGTTCCAGTAACTGGGCTCCACAATCAAAGGTATCCGGCTGCTGTCACGTGGTTCGCACAAAGTGACAAGATGCTGCATCTCTTCAAGGCTTTCCCGGTGAAAATTGCCACCCAACCAACCCCGGCACGACTTAGACCAACACTTTTAATCTCAAGTTTTATCCGCCCGGTGACCCACCCCATCATTCATCCCCAACCCTTTAGAAATCCAGAACTTGCTCACTTCTCAGCAGAGGCGAGGTTTCCAAGTAGTTGAGCAAATCAACAGCACTTTCCTTCTGATATTCCGGGGATCTCAGGGTTTATTATTGTGCTTTTCTTCGCTGAGGGAAGTTCAACTTCATATTATTGTATACGACTTTCCGGGTGAGCATGACTTTGGGCTCGCTCGCCGCAGTTCCACACCCACTCGATTTCTCCAAACAATGGCGGTAACGTCAAGATTCAGCTGCCCCCAGAGCTGGTGACTTCTCGGAGGTCCGCGGCTGGGCTGGAGCTGCAGCTCTCAGCAGGCTAACACGCGAGGTACCAAGCTGGGCCAGACGCTCCCCAGGAAGTGCAGAGATATTCATGAGCTGACCTCACCGAACTGGGCAGGGGAGAGGGCGGGATTGCAAGGGACGATAGGGTAGAAGTAACCAAAGAGAGGTTACTTTCAAGAGGAAAGAGAAGGCGGCGGGGAGGGGGACGGGGTCCGGGGGTGGGGAGTGGCGGGATAAAGAGACAAAAAGGCCAGAGCCACGCCCGAGATGGAAAATTGGCAGCAGCGCTCAAAGTCCATGCTCTATTCTCTTATCCCGTACTTGGCGGAGGATTCCAAAACCGCTCGAACACGGATGCACTCGTTTTCTGCAAAGCTTTGTCCTGGATTCCGTCAATCTCCATCAATTATTTACTTGAGCTCCTTTTCCAAGGAGGCGGACTCGAACAGCTTTCCGGGCGTGACTGACGTCTCCTGATGCAGCTGCGAGACGCTGGCGGGCGGCTGATGGGAGTTCTCTTTGTTCACTCACTTTAATTCTCAGTCGAGCTCTCCACGCGGTGCTCCCTCCCCACCCCCAGCCCGGGCGGAGTCAGCAGATGTCGTTTCCACGAATAGATAATGGTTGCCATGATGGGACCCACCGTCCCACAGACAAAGGGTTCTTGCGAGGCCACGACTAATTTAGTGCAAACCGAAATAAATATCGGCCCACAGAGATCCTTTACAGACGGATTTGCCCTCTGTACATTTTCCTGTTTCCTATTCAGTGCCGGTTTCTACCGTGAAAATAAGGAGTAATTGCTGGGATCCATAATCTTTATAGTAGTGCATGCGAACAATAACAGAAAGCAGGAAGAATATATTATATCAGCGTGAAAGGGAATTCAGCGTGAAAGAGGAGTTCAGAACATACGTGTCTTTACAATTTACACTAACCCATACTGTTTCACAGTAATAATATTTTAAAAAGTTAAGTGGAAATTTCTCTTTTTCTTTTCAGTTTCTTTTTTGAGTTGGGGGGGCGGGGGGCACGGGAGCCTCCCTTCTACCTGTAAGAATTTCTTTGTGAGCTTGAGTATGAGAATAAAAGTAAGCTCTGCTTTTGAAAGAGCATTTTACAATTTAATTTGTCTTACATTTATATGGTGATTTTGTAAGTAAAATGAAGACGATATCTTGAAATAATAATAATTTTTGTGCTAACATGAATTTTAGCTTAAGAGATTCAATTTTCCAAGTGTTGATCTTGCATTAAAAGTGAAATAAAAACAATTTAGAAGTAGTTTGCATAAAAGCATTTATTACAGCAAAATAAAAACATGCTCAAGCTCTGGTGATTGTTATTTTTAGAGACATATAAAACAAGTATGATATCACGACAAAATCATTCATGTTCCAAAATAGGTATTAAAAGCCAATTTTGAGCCTGTCACTGTCCAAGGTGCTGGGATGCAAGGCTGAATCAAGAAATTCCCTGTGCTGGGGACACTCACGCATACTGGTGAAAACTGAGATAATGTCCTTATTTTCTTTCAAATACCTTTGGGAAAAGGAAAAGTGACATCTGTGACATTTATAATAAAAAGCTCACACCTCGACTAGCATACCAAAAATAAAGGGGGGGGGAAAGCAAGTGAAAATGTAAACACAAGTTGGTTTGAATTTATATTAGGAAATTTCTTATTATGTACCCAAACTTGAGCTGTAATACCTTTAAGAAATATCAAGATGCACATGTCTCATCCAATCAAAATGGATAAAGTAGATACAAATATTTTTCAGCTCAATCTTTACCAATAAAATACTGATATTATAAACATAGTCTAAAGACACAAAATATACATAGTCCTGCTTCTCTAAGAATTTTTACTCTGCTCAGGCATCTATGTTTTGATTTTTTTTCCTAAAGCGGTATCATTTATTGCAGTGCAAATAGTAACTTTAAAAAGTAAAAGAAAAACTAAAAATGGATTATTATGTATCCTTAAATCAATGTGTCTAAATATTTCATTTTATAATTTAGTATTATGCAATTTTAAGGCTTGAAACTAATAATACAGAATAAGTATAAGCAATATTTAACATGCTTGTTTACCCATAAGTATGCCATAAGAAAAATAACTTTTGAATTGGAGATTTTTCTGATTTATTCCTTTATTTGCTGCTTAAAATTATATTGCTGCAATTAAGCAAAACCTAAAGATGATTATTCAAAGGCTTTTCCAAGATTTACAAAGATTTCAGCAGTATTTTTACTGTGTTTCAGAAGCAGACCGTCCAATCAGCCTTCTAATGTTCGCTTATGATAAGGAGTTATCCCCTTCATAGCACAGCAAAATGTGGATCTTCAATCAAGGGAAGAAGGCTAAAGTCTCAACTTGGAAACCCTTAAGAAATATGTAGTTTAAAATCTCCAACCTTCTATTCTCGTGACTTTACATCACACTATCTTAATTTACATAGTTTTATATTTTGCAAAGCCCTTTCATTTTGTGTGCTCAAAACAAAGTGTGTGAAGTAGATACTATCTTCTCCACTAAACATGGAATAACTGAGTTTCAGAGATGCTGTGACTTCCTCTAGTTAAATTTCATAATCACAACTTAAACTTGGTTCCTCTTCTCCATCAATTGTGCTTATTATATTGGTCTCAAGTGCCTCACCTCTTTTTCATAGCATGTCGTAAAACTCTGCATCTCAAAGCCAGATTTTGCACCTGTATCCTAGTTCAATCTTTTCACCAATGCGTAGAATATCTACATTTGGAGATAACATTATCACCTCACTCATATAATTTTTTTTCTTTTTTCCATCTCTTATCTATTTCTATTTATCTTTTAGTAAAGTAAAACAATATATTCTATATCTATTTTTCTTTCAGTGAAACTATCATTTGATATACTTTCCCACTAAACATGGGCTTATTCATTGCTTTATCTTTTCCCTTCACTTTTATAATCATATTTTCTTTCAAAATATCTTATATTCATCATTTCTTCTTTATCTCCTTTGCAATCAACTATCAAAATGCAGACCCTCATAATTCTAGTTTAGACTTACAAATGCTTCCTATGTTAATGATAGGTTTTTTTCTGTCAGATCTGCACTGCTTAATGCTGCCTGTTTACACCTTTATTAAACAACACTTTCCTCATGTCATTCTGTTTTCAGTCATGTCTACATTGTTACATCATATCCAAACTCTTTTTCCTAGACTGCAAGGAACTGTACTGTTCACATTCTATAAGGGGTACTCTCTAATACCTCACTCCCTGTCCTAGTCAGACTTACTGTCTCTTTTTCCCACTAACATCCAGGCTTATTCTGCTTCTGCACCTTTCCTCTTTCTAGTCCCCATACTTGGTATTTCCCTCTTCCTCTCTAGCCACAAATCTGCTCCTACTTTCAGGTTTAGCTTAAGTTTCAAATCTTTCTGTCTCATGAACTTAGGCAAGTTATTTAAACTTTCCGAGCCCCAGTTTTTTTCACTTACTACTTCATTTGTTTATTCATACATGTATGATATATCGTTGACTTTTTGTCATTAATAATACCTAGTTTATGTGATTATTATTATGAAGTGGTGATGTTAATTTTTATCACAGTGCATGGAACATAGTAATTACAACTAATGGTAAGTGATGATTACTATGTGCCTGGCATTGTAGGCTATCAGCATGAAATAACTATTATTGTAGTTATTAATTGTTATCATTAATTTAACCAAATTTTACCATTCCTGAATTTCTACAAAACTATGTTACACTATTTAAAAATACTTGGTTAGTCTTGGCTGATGTTATAATTTTTCATCCAGAGAGTAAATATTTTAAGATAATATTTCTGTTTTTCTCATTATCTCCAGCAGAGAATTGGACACATAGAAGCTAGTCAATACAAATTGATTAGTAGAGTCATAACTGAGAAAAGCTGATGTGTTTCGGTTCATCTTATTTTTAGAGAGTAACTTAGCTTGGAGATGTGCCATTGTCCTGACCTTTATTGATCTATGTATGCAGTCACACACTATATTTGTTTTCTGGATGACACTTTAGATAATCATCAATGAATCATAGAGTCCTCGAGCTGTAAACATCATGATTCATCTTTTTATCACTAGGCAGCGTGCCCAAACCATATTATATGTTGGGATTAGCCTAATTTCAACTGTCTTAATAAAGGCTATTCTACAATCTCTCTGAGTACATGTACACACATTACAACTTAACTTTATGAGCAATAACTTATGATTTAATTCATGTATTGGATTAAGGATGTTTTGTGAATGACAGAAATTCCTATTTTATCATGGCTGCCTTAGTTACTCATGCCTTTACTGTTGTATAAATTTGCAGTTAGGCTTTGAATAGGCTTCTATTCAAGACTGTTGAGTAGTATTGAATAACTTCTGTTGCATGACATCTGTAAGTACTCTTGGTAATTCAACCCAATGTCTAGCCACTCATTATAGTCAACATATTGTTGGATTCCTGATTTCAATCTAAACTCATTCTCACTCTAGTCTTAATCTTAGTGAAAACTTTTAAAAACTATGGTACTTATTATATAAATGCAATATACATATTTAGAATCACCATTAAACTTCCCCCAATATCTCTACTTTAATAACTCAGAATCATTAAATTGTCTATATCTGCATTTTAATAATCTTTTATCTTACCTATTGTGGATCCTCTTGCTAGTTTCAGAATTCATCACTAATTATTATGCCTTAAAATGAGCACAGTAGATGAAGTTTCATTATGCCAGACCAACAAGGAGGGCATCCTAAGGTACAAACTTTACATTTCTAGTTCCTCTCTTCCCACATGCTGTCTGAAAAAAAGTCAAATAGTCCTCTGCATAGACATAATCTAAGGAAGATCTTAGTAACTGTAAATGGATCTGACAGATATTTGTATTATTATATACTGTAAATATCTGTTAAGCAAACTTCAAATGTAAGGTCTTGATATTTGGTTGATCGAGTTATGAAAATGTAAGCAAACTGCCACTTATATGTTATACTTTAATATCTTGCTTTTCTTGTTATTGTTCTTAAATATCAGTAGGATTTAAATTCAACTTGTAGTCACTAAAGTTTTGGATATCATAACATGCTACACAAAATAAGAGTACTTTTTTCTGACAGGATGCTAGATTGCTTTGACTTGATTCATTCTTCACCCAGTGATATTTATTATACATAAGTAATTTTTAGGGTCCTTCAAGGAAATACATAGCACATTCAATGTAAAATAATTTGAAAAAGGTTTATTTTACAAAGGGACTAGTTCCAAGATGTGGATCAGATGTTGGATAAACCACAGTGGAGAGTTCAGTAAACTGGAGTTAAGTACTAGGATGGTGCTATCACCACACTTATACAGAAGAAAAAGACACTATTGACAATGGGATTAAAAAGATGAGAGAACAGAGTGGTCACTGTACCCAGAAAAAGATGTGTAGAGCATGCTTCTTTGAGAAGGGTGATTTCCTATTGGATGACATAGCTAGTCCAAGATTATCTTGCTGTGAGGGATTGAGTGTTACAATTGTCATTACTGCAATTCTCATCCCTGTCTCTGGTGTCCTGCTGGTACTGTCCATTGCTTGGTCCCTTGAAGTCCAGAAGGCTATAGAACCATCTGATGTGGCCCATAAAGGCCACCTCCTGGTTTGAGATTAGATCTTAAGCTGTGAAATGTAAAATATTCAGCGCAATAAACAACAATATGATCGATAATGCAAAGTCTTTAAATTTACAATGTCCCTCACAAACTCATTTTTATATATGGTGCTGATCTAAAAATTT